CTGTGGCGACCTCCACACCCTAAGCACTTGGGCACAGCTGAAGACTTTTCTTTGCCTTCCTTTTGCTTCCTTTCTCTGGCTGGGTAGAGATGATTCACCTCATCTTCAGGATTTTCTTCTGAGTTCTCCTGGACTCCCTCATGGTGCATGGAGACGGCTTCTGGATTGTTCCTGATAGGCCTCATATTCTTGACTGCCCCACCTGCTGCCTCTTCTGCAGTGACCTCTCTCAAGGCATCTTGGAATGAGATGTCCTCTTTTGCAAAGAGTCTCTGTTGCAAGTCTCTGTTTCTACGTCCGCATACCAAACGGTCTCTCAGCCTTTCTTCTAAATCTTTAAAGTCACAAGGCTTAGCTGCTCTTCTTAATGCTGCAATATATTCTTTAGCTGATTCACCAGCTCTTTGATCCCTCTGTTCAAAAGTGTGTCTTCACGCAATAACAGACAACTTGGGCTGAAAATGTTCCTTCAATAACCTTTTTATATCTGTGTAAGTGACAGATTCCAGAGGAGCGGGGGCTGCTAAGTTTTCTGCAATTTCAAATGCATCTTGACCACAGACACACAGCAAAATAGCGGCCTTCAAGCCATCTTCTCTTACTTGATTTAGTCTAAAGTAATTTTCTTCTCTGGCAACATAAGACTCCCATCTTTTTGGGTGATTAACCTCGAATTCAGACAGTCTTCCTATCTTCGCCATTCTTGCTTCTTACTCTAGGAAGGGGTCTATCAGCCAGCTTACCTCCAGCGACGCTATACTGGCAAGCCAGGTGCTGAATTTAACGTCGTCTTCCTCTCTCCAGGACTCCTGGGGTGAGCTCACAAATCTTCTTCTTTGATCTTGCAAACGACCCCATCCTCGTCGCCAGTGTTGAGTCCTTGGATCAACGGCGAATGAAGAGAAGACAGTCTGCTCATTACAACAGCCTTTATTCAACAGTTCACACTCTCCGACACAGCTCTGAGGCTCGCAGGCCTCTCTGACTCCTTTTAACAACATCCCTGGGCAGAATGGTAACAATTAGGCGCGCTCCGAGCCTCGCGCATGCGTGCGAAGCCAGTGCCAGCCAGTCTGGTCCCAGGCAGCTTGCAACTGCCCGGGACCATTGCAACGTCCCGAGCCTGCCTTTGCAGGCTCAGGACACAACACTGGGCCTAAGAGGGAGCCTTGTAGTACCCACTGCTTACTTCTCTCCATATATATATATACTACCATTGAGGACTACTCGCTGAGTATGGTTTGTCAGCCAGCTACAGATCCATCTGGTGGTAATTTTGTCTATCCCACCAATTTCTAGCTTACTAAGCAGCAGGTTGTGGTCTACTTTGTCAAATGCCTTACTAAAATCTAAGTATACTATGCCCACAGCATTTTGCTGGTCTATTAATTTAGTCACTTTATCAAAGAAGGAAATAATATTGGTTTGGCATGATCTGTTTTTAACAAACATGTGCTGGCTATTAGTTATAACTTTGTTTTCTTCTAGTTGTTCACAGATCTGTTTTTTGATTATCTTTTCCAGGATCTTCCCAGGTTTTGATGTTAGACTGATTGGTCTGTAGTTTGTAGTCTGTAATTGGGTCTGTTTTTTTTCCTTTCTTGAAGATGGGAACCATATCAGCCCTTTTCAAATCCTCAGGTACTTCCCCAGTGGTCCAGGATTTTTGAAAGATATAGTACCATGGTTCTGAGATAACATCTGCCAGCTCCTTCAGAACTCTGGGACGTAATTTGTAAGGTCCTGGTGATTTATATTCATCAAGATCAGATAGGTATTTTCTAACCATTTTCTTGCTTATTTTAATTTTTTTTCTAGTCTGTCTTTACAATTAGGTTTTTGGTAGGTTGGGCTATAGTTTCTTTTTGCATGAAGACTGATGCAAAGAATGAGTTAAGCAGCTCTTTTTGCTCTCTACTGTCTGTTACTTCCTTGCCATCTTCTCCCGTTAGTGGACTTACTGTTTCCTTGACTTTTTTTTCCTTATTGATATGTTTTTATTATTATCCTTGACTTCTGTTGCAAGTTGTCATTTATTCTGAGCCTTTACTTTCCTGACTTCATCTTTGCATGTTCTGGCTGTCTGCTGATATTCAGCCTTTGTTTATGTGTCCCTTTTTCCATTTTTTGTACTTGTCCTTTTGTCTTTCAGTTTGTCAGAAAGATCTTTGTGCAGCCATGCTGGTTTCTTCTTGGATTTCTTGTTTTTTTTTAAAGTGGTATTGTGCTGGACTGGGCTTTTATGATCACATTTTTCAGAGTTTCCCACACTTCTTGAGTTGTTTTCCTCTTTAGTTTTCATCCACAGAATGTTTCCTAGGTTCTGAGTTTATTAAAATCAGCTCTTTTAAAGTTTAAGATACTGGCTGGATTATTTTCTATTGCTTGAGTTTGCATTATATTGAATTCCAATATGACATGGTCACTTTCACCCACAGTTCTGGCAACTTCAACTCCCTCTATCACTTCTTATAAGTAAGAATTAGGTCCAGTATAGCTTTACTTCTAGTTCCCTCCTCTATCTTTTGGATGACAAAGTTGTCGGCTAGTTTGGTTAGGAGTCTGTTTGATCTCCACTCGCTACAAAGTTTGTCTCCCAGTTGATATCTGGATAGTTGAAGTCTCCCATTACTACTGTGGTATTCTTCCTACATAAATATATAACATTTGTTAACAGGTTGGCAAAGAGTTCATCTATTTTTTCTGGTTGGTTGGGTGGCCTGTAATATACACTATTGCAATATCACTTCTTTTTCCTTTTATATTGACCCATACATAGTCTGGAGGAGTTTTATCTTTGATCATGTGCATTTCTGTAGATATGTAATGTTGTTTTACATATAGTGCAACTCCACCTCCTCTTTTTGTAGATCTGTTTCTTTTGAACAATTTGTATCCATCCATCAGTACATTCTAGTCATGGGTTTCATCCCACCAGGTTTCTATAATGGCAACTATGTCATACCTATCCTCATGTACTATTGCTTCTAGTTCACCCTGTTTGTTCCCCAAGCTTTGAGCCTAAATAATAAATACTAGCGAATTCTATATTCTATATAAATGTCTCTGGGACCAGAGGCTCATTTTGCTTTTAATGCCCAAAAAAGCCTTGCAAATTTCTCCAGTGGCGCATTTGTTTCCTTCCAAAAAGACATGAAACTCACAAATTTTATGTCACTGGAGAGGCACAAACCAATCGGTTGCATCTTAGATGCAGATATTCCGCTGTAAGTTGCTTCTAGTTTCCTTACAGATAGTCATTGATGTACAATGTATGTACAATTGGGTTCAAAACTTCAGTTGCTAAGCAATGCATTCATTAAATAAGTCACACCTGATTTTATGGTTGTTAAGGAAATCACTATGGTTGTTAAGCAAATCCATGCTTAACATGAATTGACTTTACTTGTCAGAAGTCCCCTGAGAAGCTCACTAATGGCAGTCATGTGATCCTGAGATACTGCAACCATTATAAATACATGCCAGTTGCAAGTGCTTGAAATTTGATCACATGACTGTGGGGATGCTGTGATGGTCATAAGTGTGAGGATCAGTGGTATGTTATGCTTCTGCTTGCCTATTCAGTCCTTACCTAAATGAAAGCAAATTTAAGTTCATTCAACTATATAGAAATCTCAGCTGAAAAAAACAAACCAGTTCCATATCATTTTAAAACACTTGAATGGAACTGGGCTTCTTGATTGCAGTAAAGCATTATGCTAAACTTGGCTGATTCTCCCAAAGCTGCATGGAGCTGTGCCTGATTAGGACTTCCCATATTGTAGGTTGCATTGAAAATTAAAATATATAATTGAAAAATGTTTGGAAAATTAAATACACTTTTAAAAAATATTTTAGCTTTAGTTTTTTTTTTTCAAAGATTATGCTGTGGTCAAGAAAAAAAACAGAAATAGAGATAACCATGAAATCATCAGAAGTTCAGCATGACTGAACAGAGTCTTTATCTTTTTACATACCTCCTAGCAGACTCTGTAATTTCAAAGGGCAAATGTAATCAAATTCTTTTCCATTTATCACTTATTAACAGGAAATATTTTAATGTGTTATAACTGTTGAAGTTTGCAGTTCACCACCTCAAATTACACTCTAGAAAGTAATGTTATCTTGTGAATTGCATCATGTGGGTTTTACTGGAGGATCCAGTGTCACCACATCAAATACTTTGTGATTATTTTTCAGCAGTTCCTATTTTACTTTAGTAGCATTTTTGTATCACCCAAACCTCCCAGCCATTTACAATCAAAGTCCTAAAATGTGTACATGTATGCTAACAATCACACTTAAAAATGTAGTTAAATTACATTTAAATTCATGGATAGCATGGTCTTTAAATATAAAATCCTCCATGAGAGAAACTTATAGTGGACCTGCAGTTGATTATTAAAGTCCTCTCTGTCCAAAATGTGGACTTTGCAAAGAGACCACTGGTTTGAAAGAGGGGTCAAAGAGGCCATCTATGTCAAAATTGAACAGCCCTCTCTCAACAGAGGGGGAGGGATATGACATCATCTATCTTCAGTCTACAACACAGTCCTTTCAACAGTTCTAAGAAGGTTCCACACTCATTTGCACTACTCAGGTGACCCTGAGGACACAGATAAACATCCAGGTAGCATCAATGACTTGCTAAAAGAATGCAAATGACCAGCTGTCTGCAAGGAATATAAATCCTTTCATTCCCCACTATCCAATCAGAACTGAAGAAGCTTCTTGGATGATAAGCGAAATGCCTTCAGAGAGAAAAAAAGAAAGTCCAGTTGCCTTGTGAAAAAGCACCTTTGGGACAACCATGACCTGGATGACTGAGAATCTTCATAGACTTCCAAATACAGTGTTGTGGCTGCCTTTTTCTGACCACACCTTGTGGACATCCCTGATGGCCAGAATTTGTGGACTGTGGAAGGAAACCTCAGACCCTCACTTTACACCTTCCCACAATTTCAGGATTGTTGATATGAAGAAAGAAAAGTTCACTATACCTGCCACCAAGTTCCACAAAGCTACTCCTGCAGGTCCTTGAATGGCCCGAAAAGGGACTTTTAGGAGGTTCAAGAAGCAGAATCCGCAGCTGACCAGAGCGAAAGAAAATGCCACTGACAAGGAGAGGATAATTGTCACATGAAGCATCATGTTCACCTTTTTCACCAGGTGTGGAAACACTGACAAGGGAGGACAAAGCAGAGTCAAAAAAGGTTGGAGAGGTAAACAAATCCCATAAATAAACAATATCACACTCAGAAAAGGGGGCAGCAATTCTCAGATTTTCTATTTGGAATCGGTGCATATTTTTATTACTTTCGCCTGAAGTCATGTGCACACCCACACACATTTGGCATCAGGGAACATAGAACATAAAATAATAGTTTTGGAAGGGAGTTTCTAGTCCAACTCTTTGCTCAAGCAGAAGATCCTATACCCTTCTGGACAAATGGTTGCCCAGTCTCTTCCTGAAACCTGCAGTGATGTAGCACCGACAACTTCTGGAAGCAAGTCATTCCACTGATTGTTCTCAAGTCTCGGGAAATTTCTCCTTATTTCCAGCTTGATCTCTCTTATATAATCTTCTATCTTTTACTTCTTATCTTACCTTCAGATGCTTTGGAGAATAGGTTGTCCCCCTCTTTGTAACACTGTCTCAAAAATTGGAAGACTGCTATCATGTCATCCCTAGTCCTTCTCTTCGTTGGACTAGACATAATGTCAGACCTGCCCCAATCCGGTCCCTTAAGAAAGAAAAGCCTTTGACTCCATTTGTGTAAAGCAAAGGGTTCTTTTACTAAGGATGTTGGTTGCAGTAAAGTCAAGCCAGCTCTGAAATTTACCGCACTCGCTTGTTACAAAAATAAGGTGTAGGCTTGCTCCCAGCCCATCTTTCCCCCACTGTGAACAGTTTATTTCCAGCCAACCAGAGCTCGCCAAGATCTCTGAGAAGTTTGGGGGTAATCTGCATATTTCTCAGGGTGTCTGGCCATGGTGTTGTAGAATTGAAAAACTTGAATCAGCTCTTTCAGGAAAGGGAAGTTTATTGCGCGCAGGTTCAGAGAGCCATCCTGGCTGAAGAAATCTGAACAAAAGCCTGGTCATTGATGACCATTTTTATAACCCTTCAAGCGGGGGTTATTTTCAGGTCACATTCCACAGGTCCTTATTCTAACATAGAAAAACTACTAGACAGATCTATAATCGATAGCTCCTCGTTTACATTGGAATGTTTTTAGCAATCAGCAATATATCAAGTGTTAAGCAATTTAGATACACCATGTGACAAGCAGTTAGTAATATATCATGTGCAGAGCTGGGAACAGGATGTCTGGCCATCCTAAATTTAAGAGTTGTCTTGTAAGCAAAACAAACCTCCCTTTTACCCACATTTTTGTTGGGCCATCTGCCTTTTATACACATCCTTTGTCGGACCATCAGTATTTTTCCAGGTACCACTTTATTCCCCCCTGATGAGACTTATCTCATCTATGCAGATAAGTTTCATTCCATAACACTTGGGTCTGATGTATGTATGTTGTTATACTCTTGTCTCTGGAATTCCCACATGTGAAGAACCACCCTTTAGGTAACCATATGTTTGCATACCCAAAAGACACTGTTTGGAAAGATGTGCAATTTAGCTTTTCTTGGCTCACTTTCAGGCAATGAGGTGAAGGTTTATTCTGCTCACACCCTGTGATATGTGCACATTGTAGGTCTTCTGGAATGGCTACGTTAGGAGTATGTAAAGCTAAAGCATCAGTGGGTAGAAACTTGGAAATGTGACCCCAGCTGTACATTGTTTCATAGCCTATATGTTCTTTAAACTCATGGTGACTGAACTCCTTGGCTGCTGTGACAGGAACACATACTGGTATTAAACATGTGGACAGCAAATTTTCCATGTCATATGCTTCAGAAAGGCAAAAATCAGTTGTGTTGGCTAGTTTAGCCAATTGGACCCACAAATTATATTACATCCTTGACTCCAATGGATGGGGCATATCCTTATTCTGCTGGGACCTTTTACTTTGCTTTCTCTCTGGGCGCTTCCTCGGGGGTTGTTGGATAGTAACTCCTAATTCCCCCGGGATTACATGTACGATGCAAGTCCTCTTCCATCCTGTCTTCAACTGCGAGACTAGGGTGACCCGCTCCCATCCCCAGAATAAAGGAGGCCCACACTCCAGAGTAACAGGAGGAGGAGGCTTCTTTAACTATTCTGTCAAATGCTTGGGGAAATTGACAAGGATGAGGCCAGATACCATTCCAGCATTCTGGGGAAAATCCAATAGGGGGTGACCTTTACAAGTGCCCGTGCCTATAGCATAAGATTGGATAAGGCGTGGAGCTTCTTCTGGCTTGCTCCATTGGCCTAAATTAGAAAGACAAACATTATTACATGCAACAATAGTACTATATAAAAGCAGAAGGAAGCCTTTCATCCTTTCTTCTCCCGTGCGTAGAAAGCCAGCTTCCGGGTGTGGCTTAGCAGGGGGTTGAATTTCAGCCAGACAGCCGTAGATATATGTGCAGGATACACTTGTGCTAATACAATATCTGGTTTACAAACAATAAAATATTCCTTAAACATACTAAACACGTTTAAGAGTGAGTTTGGTGGGAACCTTGGGGTCCCTGTTCACTGTCCACAGAGGTTCTGCAGCTGCTTTAACTCTGGTCCAGTGAATCCAAGATTTAGATTCTGCAATCTTTATTGCTAAAGGGGAGGCCATTATTACTTCATAAGGTCCTTTCCATCTCCCCTCCAGTTGTTCATGTTTCCAATGTTTTACCCACACCTTATCCCCTGGTTTAAAGGGATGACATCTTGTTATTAGTTTAGGAGGTGTTTGTTCAACAACATAATTCCTAAGTTTTTCCACTTGCTTATTCAGTTCCTGCACCATTTTCAGAGCCCCTATTCCCCCCTGATGGCCCAAATCAGGCCATCCAGCCAAACTTCTTCTCAGCAGTGTAGGAGGACGCCCAAACATCAGCTCATATGGGGATAGGTTGTATTGTCTACGTGGAGCACATCTCACAGCGTAGAGAGCTAAGGGCAATGCATCAGGCCATTTCAGGTGACTTTCAGCACAGATCTTAGTAATTTTCTCTTTCAGTGTGCGATTCATTCGTTCAGAATTCGAACCGGACTGAGGATGAAAAGCACAATGAAACCGCCATTTGGATCCCACAGCAGTAGCCACTGCTTGATTAACTTGATGAACAAACTCAGGACCATTATCAGAGGAAATAAAAGACGGGCAACCAAAACGAGGTATTAGTTCTTTTAACAATAGTCTTGCCACTTCCCTGGCTTGTTTAGTCTTTGTAGGGAAAGCCTCTGGCCAGCCAGTGTATTTATCCACAAATACCAATAAAGCTTTGTATAGTCCACATCTTGGCATGTCTGTAAAGTCAACCATGACAGAGTCCATAGGAAAGTAAGAGACAGGTATGGTTCCAGGTGGTAGTAGGGGCCCTTGTCGAGGATTGACCTTAGCACAGATGCCACATTGTGAAACCACTCGAGCAGCTATCCCAGCCGACCCATGTACATAGTAATCCCTCCCAATAGCAGCATCCAATCCAGTTTCCCCCATGTGTGTTGTTTCATGTGCTGCCTGAAGTAAAGCCCATGCTGAAGATTGAGGGACAAAAATACGTCCATCAGGCAAAAGATACCACCCATCCCTAATAGTAGCTTTGAGATCATTCACTGCTTTCACACACTCCTGCTGAGAGTATGTTGGTTTAATGATAGGAGGCAAGTTCCCTATGTCTATTGCCACACATATTGACAGATCAGGAATAGGCCCTGTTTTCATTGCCACCTTCTTAGCTTCCAAGTCAGCTCTTCTATTCCCCTGAGCCACCCGATCCACCCCTTGCTGATGTCCTTTGCAATGCATCACAGAAACTTTTGCTGGTTTCTGCACAGCATCGAGAAGTCGCTTGATCAAATGTCCATGCAACACATGTTTGCCCGCAGAATCCCTGAATCCCCTTTCCTTATTCACAGCCCCATGAGCATGCAGAGTCAAAAAAGCATATTTACTATCTGTCCAGACATTTAAAGTTTCCCCTTCAGCTCTTTCCAATGCCCTAATTAATGCCCACAATTCTGCTACTTGAGTAATGCAGCTTGCTCCTAATGGACTACTTTCCATCACTTCCTCATCATTCACAATCGCATATCCAGAAACCCTCCTCCCATCCTTCATGTAACTCGAGCCGTCTGTATACCAATTCAGGGCAGCAAGCAGTTGTGTTCTGAATCCACTTCTGTGGGCAATAGGGTGGCAGGGTTTAGCCGGTTAGACACCACTAATTTCACTTGAGGATTTTCAATCATCATCGCCTGATACTTAAAAATCCTTTGACTGCTGATCCACAAATGCCCTTTATTATCCAAGATAGAATGAACTGCATGAGGGGGGTGGACACTTATGGAACATGAGAAGGTCAATTTATTACAGTCCTGTAAAAGAACTGCTATAGCAGCAAGAACCTTCAGGCAATGTGGCCAGCCTTGGGCAACCCCATCTAATTGCTTAGATAAGTAAGCCACCAGGCGTTGCCACTGTCCTAATTGTTGAGTTAACACCCCCAAGGCAACATTCTTCCTGGTATCAACATACAAATTGAAAGGCTTTTCTAAGTTAGGCAAGGCTAAAGCTGGAGCTGATGTGAGGGCTCGTTTCACTTCCCTAAAAGCATTCTTTTGTTCTCCCTCCCATTCAAAAGCAAACAACGGCTGGCTAGCCTTGTGAATAGGAATCGTGAAAAAAGCATCTTTCAAATCCACAACTGAAAACCACTTTGCTATGAACAAGTGTATACCTCCTTTAGGCTTCCTGATTAAAATTGTCCACACTTGATAAGAAATGCTAACCACCAAGATGTCCCCAAATGTCAATTTTAGATAAAAATGCCACTGGCTGCCTTTCCCCCCCACGCACACACTTCTGGGTAAAAACCTCCTCCAACCTTTGTCCTTGTTTATAAATAAATTACCTAGCAAAGAACCAACAAAGGAGAGCTCACCAAACCCTGTTTGCATTTATTAACACAAGCTCTTTTTCTAACAGTTTTGCATATAAATCTTTACTCAAAACAGCATAGTTATTTATAATCCCAAAATTTTTCTCAACTTCGTTCTAACTTCACACAA